TACGCACCCCCTCTTCTTGCGGAAACCTGCCTGGCCCTCACTAATGCTATGTTCCTTCTCCAATACTCCCACTCTCCTATCGTTCAGCAGCTTACAGAACACTTTTCCTACTGTGTTCAACAGTATGATCCCCCTGTAGTTTCCTGGGTCAGTCTTGTCTCCTTGGGGGGGGGTGGGGGGGCTGATGCGTCCCACATACATGCGATGCTTATCTTTGTTCAGGTGGTGGCGAGCCAGCCTTGTGTGCTTGCTTGCTTCCATTGTTGCGTGACTCAGGGGACGAGGCCCTAACGTCCGTGCCGGTACAGCAGTAAGTACCTTGCGTTTTTACTTCCGTTGTTTCGTATTTTGTGGCCCGACGAACGTGAAACCATGAACATTTACTTGGGTCCCCTTCCCTCTCTCCGTCTCCTGCCCCCCCACCCGCACGTCCGACTCCATTGCTATGCCAGCACCTCTCTCGCTCGATATATAACATCACCCTATCTAATTTTCTCTTGCCATCCCCCCCTTCCCCTCCCCATTCCAGACTAAAAGACGGGTACCTCCTGGAGAACTGCCTGGCCGTCCTGGTGAACCTCGCCCCTCAGGCGGAGCACCTGCAGCCATACGCCGCGGAGCGCCTCGTCACCGTGCTTGTGGCCGCCTCCCGCCGGTGGATACAGGGAGCCACGTCCGCCGCTGCCGCCGCAGTAACGGCACAAGCGGCAGCGGCGCCGGCGGCGGAGCAAGGTGCTGGGGCGGGACTGCAACTTGGAGGGGGCGGCGGCGCCGGCGCCGGCGGCGGGGGGGGGGGGAACGGGGGNGGGTAACGGGGGCGCCTTAGTATCGGAGAACGGTCGGGACCCGATTGCGGCGCCGGGGGGTGCGATAGCGGACGAGGGGGGGGGCGGGGGAGGGCTCAGCGACGTGCAGGAGCTGTGCGGGGAGGTCGCCCGGGTGCTGTTCCTGTTCGTGTGGTCGTGCACCCGGCCGCGGAGGCTCGGCAGCAACGTGGAGCTCCTGTACGCGCTGCTTCACGAGCAGGCGTGTGTGGTTTTCTCGCGGCCGGCCTATGTGTTTATGTTTTCGGGTGGGCAAGCGCCGCGTAAGACGTTGGTAGTGGATGTGGTGCGAAGCTATGGAGTGCTTCTCTCCCGGCATTTGGGGGTGGTTATTTAGTATGCATGGAACTCACCTCACGCAGAGTTGCAGCGAAAGGAACACGGGCTCACGACTAGCTACACTCAGACGGGGCCGTTTACTTCCTTTGCGTAAATGTAGATCATTATTTGTTTGTCTTTCTCACCTATTACTTTTTTCCCCACCCCTACCTCGCTCAGGCCCAATCGTACTTCTGTCTCGCTCGCCGCTTACCCACACCACCACGCGTCGCACGTACCATGCGTCCCACGCAGCCCCCACCCCCCACCCCCCACCCCATCCCTCCACCGTGAACACTTTGCGTTTCCCCCTGCCTGCCTTGCCTTGCCTTGCCGAAATTGCTGCTGATTTTCAGGCTGCCCTCGACGCGATCTGCACCCACCCAGCGCTGGCCGCGACCGGGTGGGCGGGCGACTTGCCGAGGCTGCTTGCGCACTTCCAAGACCTGGCGCGCCAGCGCGAAGAGGTAGGTGTAGACTACGACCGTAGTGACACAAGATGTCACAACCCCTTTGTGGGCCGCTGATTTTCGAACATCGATTTCTCCACAGCAGAAAGGAGTGGGGATGGTCGCGGCGTCGGAGCCGTCTCGTCGAGAGCCTTCGGAAAACGCATTGTTTGACTCATTGTACGAGAAAATACCTGCGAGGCGTGTCTGCTTTCGGAGGGGGCGGTGTCGTTGCGCCTTACCTACGGCTCGGCGAAACTGCGCGGTATACAGCAGCGCACAAGAGTCTGAGGCAAACGCTGAGCAGCAGCGGGGTCTGGTTTCCACCAAACGGTTTCACGTGTATTGGCACGTTGTCGTCTGCTCTCCGACTAAAAATGCAGGAGCTCAAACCCAAAGCGGTATGAACGTGTATGAACGTGTATGAACGTGTGTGTGTTTTCACGTCATTGTTACTCCCTTGCCAACGCCTCCATTTTTTTTTTTCTCGTTCTGTTTAGTGTTCCTCTAGGCACCACGCGTGTGTTTGTGGAAAGCGTTGCATGAAAAGCCCGCACCCCCTTGCCGTGCCTCGGCTCCCTGTTTTGCCTTGTTTGTCGTTGCTGGGTCCTTTTCAGGACGGGGGTGGCACCGGCCTCACCGCGGAGAGCGCAATGGAGACGGTAAAGAAGGGCGTGCGACACTACACCACCGAGGTGAGGCGTCCAGGGGGGGGGGGGGGGGGGGGGGNGGGGGGGGGGGGGAGGGCGGGGGTAGGACGCTCGTTGCGTACTTTTTGATCGAATGGTTTTGTGTATGGTTCCAAGCTTGAAGGTGTTTTCTCGCCACGGTTGCGGCCACAAACAGGCCTTTGACCCGGTTACGAGGAACCTCGAACAAGATCTTGATTTGGCCCTCGAGGGTGTGTTTGTGTGTGTGTAAGGCAACATGGATGGGGGTGGGGGTAGTTTTTCACGTTTCGCTTGGATGTTGCCAGCAGTAACGAACAAGGAACCTTGCGGTAATCGGCCAAGCGAAAAGAACTGGCCATGCAATACGCGACATGAGTTGTACGTGGTGGAAATGTTTGTTTTCTTGTCGTCGTACGAACCATTCGGGTTGTTGTCCGTCGGCCGTGCGTGTCAATGGATGTTCTTGCCGGTTGTGAAAACAACAACCAACCCTGCTGTGTGTGTGCATGTGCCACGTGAGGCACTTTTGTGGTGTTGGTTGTCGTCGATTTTTTCGTTTGAACGGACCACGTCCACGAAGGCTGCGAAGAGTCTGCCCGTGGCAAGCCCCTTTCCCACTTTGTCCCATGCTTCCTGTCACTGTCGTCCATGTTCGTGGAAGTCCTTCATCCCAACACCCAAAGGTTTTGTTCCGATTTACCGCAACCCTACATAATAAATAATTATAGATAGAAAAGACAGGACTCAGTATTGCCAATAAAAACATTCAATGAAAGCCATGAAAATTCAATCACGCGGGGTCCCGATCGTAATCTCGTTTCGGTGTACTACGGCAGGCTTTGGGCAAGGGCCACAATGGCGGGGGCGACGCGGCAGAGGATGGCCGGGGGGGTGGGGGNGGGGAGGGCGTTACTCTGGTCTACGAAGAGGTGCGTTCGGGGAGAGACAGGGCGAAGGCGTAGTTCCATTTTTGTGGTAAGGCACAGGCGTAGCACCTACAGCAGTCGGCGGTCCTCAAGAACGGTAGGTAAGTGACAAGAGGTTTTGGTTCCGTTTTTCAGGGCAGTGTCACTTTTCCAAATACCGATTTACTGAGAGATACATTTGCGCCAAGCGATTCCGGAGGGGGGGGGGGTGTACTCATAGTCGTGCATGCCGTAGTCGTTAGACCATTGACCTCGCATCCCTACAAAGCCGGGACGGAGCACGCC